TCTCCAAGAAGGAAACAGCTGGAGGCCAGAGTCAGTCATCTACTTTATTGACATCTGCTGCTATTATTCTATCATGGGGTTTCTTTTATTTATTTCTGTTATTTGAAAAATTCAGTAGAGACCATGTGTCAACTTAATTGTTTTCTGAAAATTCTAGGAACTTGGGCACAGCATGATTTATTTGCAATTCACTAGCAGTGCTAATCAAATATTTAAAACAAACCTTACTAGTCTATATAGAAATCAAGTCAATGAATAGTTCTCTCCCACTGACACAGCAAAGTCTTCACTGCAGTGTTATTAGATAAGAGTAATGTCTTCTGGAGGCACACAGCCTTGGACTGAATCTCTATTCTACTACACTTTAGCACTGAAATACTGGTAAGTAATATAACCACTCTCTGCCTCAGTTCTTTATCTATGAAATGAGGGTAATAACAGTACCTATAACATAGGGCTATTGTGGGGACTGATGGGACACTCCATAAATTGTCTGGCCCACTATCAGGCATATAACAAGCCTCTATAAACATTAGTACTAATCCTTTTCTGCTCTGATTTCTCCTAAATAACATTACTGTGAAATTTTGTCTCATTCTTACATTAAGCGTCTTCTCCAATGTCTATCTAATGAAGTTTGCTTCCATGTATAACCTGACCTAAACCTGCTCCTTTCCATAAACATTATCCTCAAATTATAATGGTTTACTCACTAGGCATTCTCTCCCAATCTTTCATTCAACGAACGCTTTTTTCTTTTCTATACTTGAGTCTGATCTGCCCATTGAATACCAACTACTTGGTGAAGTCTTTCCTGAATGCTCCATTCAAAAAGGATTTCTCTTGTCCATAAAATCAACAAAAATATTTCCCTCAATAACAATACTATTCATACAATATATTTGCTTGTCTATATTGCTATTCATATTTAAAAAAAAATACTGGACTTAAGGTTTAAGTATCTTCTGTTTTACATTAGTGCTAACACACTGTGAATGTAATATTAAGAACAAATCTCTACCTTAATTTCCCTTGCAACTGGTAGAGTAAGAAAATGAAACAAATGTCCATACCAACATGGTCAAGGAGGCCTTTACTCTTTCAAGAATTTCCTTCAGAACTCCCTAACTGGGTGCAAACTTTTCTTCCTTTTAACCTCCACAACAATTTGTTTATTCTTTTCTTTAACATCTAAACTGACTCAGGAGTTGGTGAGATTTGGGGAATAAGGCATAGCTACAAAAAAATACTGCAATTACATCATGAAGAGAAAGTATAATGTAATAAACAAAAGCAAACAAACAAACAAAAGCTTTGTAGGAGCAAACCTAGATTCAAATTCTGGATTTTGGTACTGGTTAACCATCTGATCTTATGAATGTCTCCTACTCTATCTGAGTTTATTTCTCTGTAAATGCGGATAATAAAGCCCTCTTTGAAATGTCATGAGAAAAAAATTAAGAAATATCCTATAAAGAACAAAGTAGGTACTCAAAATTATTTTCTATAATAATGTAAAGAATCTTCAGTTTGCATGGGTAATCAAAGAGGGAAAAGATGAGTGGGCCCAAAACTGGAGAGAAACTGAGAGTAAAGAGAGAGAAATGACAGTAAAAAGGAGGAGGAAAAGCGAGGTGGTGGACCATGCTGGAACGAGGTTGGGGAATAAAAAAAGAAAGCTAATGTGATGGGTATGGCCAGGGGACTTTCATGAACAAGGATGTTGAATGCTTAATTGCATGTGATTTGCTGAGCTGCGACAAAATAGAAGCCCCTTTCTTAACTTTAATCTCTTGATTCTCAGTTTCCAAAGCAAAGTGACTCTCTTTCTTATTTGGATGAATACCCAGGAAGAATGGAAAAACCAACCATATGAAGAGACACATTAGAAAAGTCAAAGAAAGTAAGAATTCAGAACAAGAAGCAGCTAGAGAAATACATAAGTCCTTGAGGTATGGTGATGGAGAGTCCTAATGTATGTGGCATAGAGTCTAGAACTAATGTTATTTATTTGTTAAACGACAGTGAGACTAAGTACTCTAAACAACTTGGGACACCCAGGAAGGAGACATCTGGAAAACAGTAGCTAGATGGAACTACAATAGAAGAAAAGGTATCAACAATTAAAGACTGGAATGGTTACATAGGCCTTGGAATTGTAAACAGGCCAATTGGATGTGGAAGAACCTTTAATGAAGCAGAGTGTGTCTTTCTAAAGGAGCAAAACTCAATTATCCACTCAAGACTGAGAGACAGATGCCACAAAGTGATGGGCAAAAGAGAAAGACAGGTTCCCTGACAATTTCAAGAAGCCACCCTACCAGCTATGGACTGCTTACTTTCAGATATCCTTTACATGAGGATATAGGTTAAGCGAAATAAGTCAATCAGAGAAAGACAATTATCATGAGATTTTTCTCATATGTGGAATTTAAAAAACAAGACAGAGCATCATAGGGGAGGGGAGGGGAAAAAGAAATTAAGACAAAATCAGAGAGGGAGACAAACCATAAGTGACTCTTAACTCTAGGAAACAAACTGAGGGTTGCTGGAGGGGAGGTGAGTGGTAGATGGGTAACTGGGTGATGGGCACTAAGGAGGACACTTGATGTAGTGAACACTGGGTGTTATATGCAATGAATGGAATCACTAAACTTTACTTGAAACTAATAATACAGTATATGCCAATTAACTGAATTTAAATTTTTAAAAAAGAAAAAGAAATAAACGCCTGTGCTGTTTATCCTATTGTTAAGTTGAGTTTCCTACTATTTGCAGTAAAATCTGATTGTCTCTAATGCAACTTTCTTGATGATGTCTGCTATTTTCTTCAGTTCTATTTTTTCAAAGTTTATAGAAATCTTTAAATATACTTTTTTGACATTTAAAAATATTCTGAAATGCTGACAAGGCAGTCTTTAAATTTGTTTGAAAAAGTTTTTTAATCGCCAAGTGGCATGCTAAAAACATCCCCTAACTACAACGTTGCTTACCACAGAGTCTTATTGGAATATCAGATGTGTGATTGATACGTTTGTTAACCAAAGAGATGAACCAAAATTCTATTGCAGACAGTATTTATGATACAAAAGTCTTAGGCCAAGGCCGTTTAGCAAAATGGAAGTTTGACTAAACCTGCAGATCAGAGGCATGGTCAGCAGAGAAAAAGGGTCTACCTATTCTTTCAATCTAATCCCAACAAGTTGTAGTGGGTACACTGAACATTAAAACAGAACTTTGTGGCATTTGCTTTTAATTTTTTGCATAAAGTTAAATACTTTTAGTCTTTTGTTAATAATTTATCTTTCCTTTCGTTTACTCTGAATTGCTTACATTAGACTGAGAACTATAAGCCTACAATTAACTTTTTAAAATATTCTTTTTTAAAATATTTAGTTATTTGACAGAGAAAGAGATCAAAAGTAGGCAGAACGGCAGGAAAAGAGAGAGGGGGGAAGCAGGCTCCCTGCTGAGCAAAGAGCCCAGTGCAATCTGGGGCTCGATCCCAGGACCCTGAGATCATAACTTGATCCAAAGGCAGTGACCTAACCCACGGAGCCACCCAGGCGCCCCCAAGTAATTATCTTTTAACTGATTTTTCTTGTGTGATTGTCTAAAGTTTTCTTAAAATACAAAAGGAATAATATAACTTTAGAGCTACAAGTACTTTAAAAAATCATTCACTCCACACCTTCTGTTTTAAGAGTAAATGACCAAAAAGACTAATGAACTTAACTAAATCTTTGTCAGAATAATTCTTCATTGATTGATGATTGATTGATTGATTCATTCATTCATTCATGTATTAATCCATTCAACTACTGTTTAATTCTGAGGCATAAGGCACTGGGCAGCGGGAGCTGTACACAGTATAGATAAGGCCCTGCCATCTGCATACTTTCAATTCAGTGGGAATAGAAATAAATCATCCAGATAATTAAAATACAATGTAAATAAATGTGCTTTAACTATTATTACAGCCAGAGAATCACAAGAGAGGAAAGGAGAGTAAGGGGTAGCTAGCAAAGACTTTAGGGAAAAATTTGCATTTGGCTGTTCCTTAGAGGGCTTGAACAGGTGGAGCTGCACGAATGCAGATTTCAGATCAAAGGGGTGGCTCTCTTTTTAACTTGTAGATTGGATTTCAGTACAAAGTTTTTTCTTAAATTATTTTAAAATTGCATTTGGGTGGGAAAGTAAAATCAAAGCAGTCCCTTAACCAGAGGTGAGAACAGCAACTTTGGAAAGCCTGACGTCATAGTTAGTGCTGCATTAAAAGGTGATGTTTATCAGGGTACAAATGGATCTCCCTGAAGTTGAGCAACTGAAAGGCCATGCAAGCATGCATCTGGAGAAAACAACTGCAGTGCGGCTTAGAAACCAAGAGCTACGAGCCACTGCTCAGAAAATATCATAAATTAAATGACTGAAAAAGATGTCAGTAATAAGTAAAACAGTAGGGTTTCAATTTACAAGTGAAAATCCAGACAAATGTGCAATATCAAGGAAAATAATATTTCACTTTTGTTCATAGTGCAATGAATTAAGAAGTCTAAGACATATATTCAAACAGAAAATGTTTAAAATACAAATGGCATTTAGAAAATGTGACAACATCTGTATGGATTTTAACAGATAAATCTCCTTTTTTTACAGTGTAATATGCATGAAAAGTAGGTCCCTTTTTCTCATATTTGTGACTGTTATTGCTATTAGTAACAGAGTGCTGTCTAAGACTAACAAGGCAATTCATCAATAAATAGTACTTAGAGCAAACATGCATTTTCAGAGAAATTTGTCAATGACTTTTGCTACAAGCATAAATTATCAATACACTTTTACATAAGCTAAATATTTAGCTTTTCAGCTGCACAAACTACTTACTTTCTTATACCGGTGTTCCTCTACCACTCCCCATTTCACAACATGCTTTACATTCCACCTACAAGGAAATCTGCATTTTAGCTCTGAACGTCTGCAAGTAACCTTCAGCTACTAACCTTACTGTCTTCTGTCTCTTTAGCTTTTTCTTGGAGGGGTTTCTTCTCTCCAAATTCACAGGTTGATTTTAATGTGAGCTGACAAGAAAGCATTGAGCTCTCTGTTTCAGTAAGTTCCAAAGGTCCTGAAGAATAGGGCTGTGACCCAGTAGTGCCAAGATTTGGTATCAGAAGAGCAGTATGAACAGGCTTTGACCCAACAGCTGGCTGTCTCAGTTTTGAGGCAACCCCAAGTACAGGCATGGCTTCCATAAAAGTATCTTCTTGCTGCCAAAGAAAATGCTTCTAACCTCAGTCTGGTAGACTCCAACTTTAGTATTTCCAGAACAAATACTTTAAACAAAACTAGCGGTCATCATGATTCAAAAAGAAAAAAAAAAGAAAAAAAAACCCTAATAATATAACTTCCAGGAAGAGGCAAAACTTCCCTTCATCTTTAGTTAAGTATCTTTCTTTCTTGCTGGCTCAAATGGCTTATATTCTCATCATTCTCTCTCTCTCTCTCTCCCTCTTAGCCTCGCTCTCTCTCTGTTCAGTGAGTCAGTGCCTATGTAATATTAAATACTCCTTTGGGGAGTAAACTTTTCTTGAAGGTAACTGTTACAAAGCTCCTTCTCTAGGATTAAAGAGCTCCTAGTTATACTTTTCCTCCCACTACAGCAGTCTGAATCTGAGCGCTGAGAATAAAAAAGAGGAGAGAAACAAAAGGAAAAGTCCTCAGTCCAACTGTCAAGGCAGCCAAAAGACCACAATAGTGGAAGGACAGGAGTTCTTCCTGACTTCAGAAATAACCAGCCTACATTCTCTTTTTAAAGAAAACTGTATTTCCCCCAGTTTAAAAAAAAAAAGAGAATGGACAGGATTAATGGCCAAAACAAACAGCTGTTGGAAGAACTTTTAGCCCGGAAACAATCTCAGCAATGAAGCTGTTTGTCTGATTTCCAGCTATTTTTCACTACTGACAGCCATGAACCACTGTGCTCATTCTATTTTATCCCATGAAATCAGGTTAAATTCATGCCACAGTGCAACTAGCTAAATGTGTTAAATCACTCAGTAGACTATACCTGCCTAGGTTAGGAAAATACAGTAAATGCGGATGGCAAGACACTAGATACATAGCAATTATTGTTCTAAATTTAATAACAATATTGATATTAATATTCATAGCTAACATGTATGTGGAATGTTTTATATAGCAGTTACTTCACATTTAACCAGTGGGACCACTCAAGAATAGGCACACTTATTCTCTCCACTACAGAGAAAGGATAAGACTCAGATTCATATAAGTAATTTGACCAAAGTCATCGGGTTAAAAAGTGCAAGGGCCTGTATTCTTTAGAGTAACTTAAGAAACCACCTTAGAAACAATTTAAAATAACACTGTTATTCAAGCTCTTTAGGTCCAAACTAAAATCTTAATGTACTAACTATCCAAATATATACTCAGTGACTATGAACAATGCTGCTTCTATCCATAAAATTATTTTATTATACTTTGATTATGTTCTATTTCTGGTAAAAGCATGTCTAGATCCATAACAAAAGCAAGGGGTAAGTTTTTAAGAAATATCTGAGATGCGTGTAATAATGTCTTTAAAGTAGCTACACTTACACAATGGGTATACCAATAAATTCCTCCATCATTTAGTAAATATCATATTTATGTGATGGTGTTGAAATTTCAATAGTATTACCTAATAACAGGAATTTATTTCATATCCCTTGAGTTTTTGTTGAAGATTCTAAAACACAGATGTACTCCTTTTTTTTCTTTATTTAGAAAATCTATGTTATAGTCATGAAATATTTTAAGAATTAGTAATATTACAAGTGACATTCCTAGAAAAATGAGTGGACATTTAATGGACATTCAATAAATAATAGCAATTATAAGAATCATAACTCTTATTATAGAAAATAATCTCTATATAGTAAGAATTTATTTTTCTACTACTTCCAACTCTATAAATTATTTTGTAGTTTTAGGTAAGAAGCAGTAATTTACAGATAAAAGCTAATAATTAAAGTTGAATTTGTATCTTCTTTTGATATAAACATGGAAGAAATTAAAATACAAATTAGAAATCTTACCAACTGTAAAAAAGAAAGTAACTCAAGTGGGATTTACTCAATTGTATTGTAAGAAACAAATACAACACCAGAGGCAAGAAAGACATGATCACTCTGAGGAAGTTAGTTTATAATTAACAAGCCATTAACACACCAACCCTTCCAGAGACTGTAAGATATTGCAAAGCAGGATATACTCATGTTCCTAAAATGGGGTTTAAAGTATCTGAGAAGTCACATGCATCCTGCAATCCCCACATAGCAAACAAAACGGCATACCCAAAATAATAGGACTTGTGGGGAAAATAGCTTCTGGGAAGACCACCGAAAACATGCAACTTTGGGAACAGATCACTAGCAAACACAATATTTGTACCTTGGAAGATGATCTGGACCACCCAAGCAAGAAGGTCAGCCCAGAGCCTAAAAACAAGCAAACAAACAAAAAACAAAGCAAACAACAATGCTTCACAATTGAGGGGAATGACTGGCAATATGTTAATTAGAATTGGTAGGAAAAGGGGCACCTGGGTGGCTTGGTGGGTTAAAGCTTCTGCCTTTAGCTCAGGTCACGGGATCGAGCCCCTCATCGGGCTCTCTGCTCAGTGGGGAGTCTGCTTCCCATGCTCTCTCTCTGCCTGCCTTTCTACGTAGTCATGATTTCTATCAAATAAATAAATAAAATCTTTAAAAAAAAAAAAGAATTGGTAGAAAAAATCCAGCTGGAAGGCACACTCTGAGCCCATAGACGTGCCACTGAAATGGGCACAGGGTGGGGGGCAATGCAACTGCAAATATTTAAGAACCACATAAGACAAGGGGTATGTTCCTTTGGCCATGGAGCCCCTGATATTGATACTTGGCTTTTTTAAAAATTTTCGTAAAACCAAAAGGGCCCCCACTGACTATTTAGATCAAAGCTGAGGGCCTTCTTTTTCCACCCAAGGTTATAATTCAACTCTGACTATTCTGCCCCCTTGGGGGCATAAATCACATATAAAGCTTTGCAACTTCTACATTACACTAACATAATTCTATTTACCAATTGCAGGTGAGCTAATTGGTATTTTAGAAACATATGCCAGAGCAGAACACACTGTTTTTCCCAATATAATCAAATTGAAAAAAGCAAAAACAATAAAAACAGTGCTTACAGTCAGTAAGATGTCTTTTCACTTTGAAATACCTTTTGCGTATTGGATGATATCATTTCACTGAAATATAGGGTTGGAAACAATTGCCACTGTTGACCAATTCTATGAAATAACATCTACCACCAAGAGCAATAAAAACTAATTTACTCTAGAGAATTTTTGGTGTGCCAAGAACTGTCATCCCATTCCATCCTAAAAAAAATCACCTTTGAGTAGGTGATGACAAAGGCCTGGAAGAGTTAAACAGTTAGCTTAATGTCACAGAAAATGGTTTTTATTAATTAGTTGATTTATGTATTTGAGAGAGAGAGAAAGAGAGGACATGAACATGTGATAAAGGGGAGGTGCAGGGAGGGGAAGAGGGAGGAAGGAAGAAGCAGACTCCACACTGAGCACAGTAGCACTTGATCTCACAACCCTGAGATCATGACCTGAGCCCAAACCAAGTGTCCAATGCTTAACCTAAATAGCCACGCAGATGCCCCAGAAAATGGGGTTTATCAAACCAGGTTCAACGAACCATCTCCTACAGTGCTTGCTAAGCATACAGATTACTGGATTCATCCTAAACCCACCAAGTAAGAATCATGAGGGCAAGGGAAAAATCTGAGAATAGAATTTAAGTAAACTGATTCTCCTATATACTAAAATTTAAGGTCTATATTTTAGATGATTTGTAAATTGACAGTTCAGGGAATAGATTAAAATTGTACTGCCTAGAGACAAATCTCTATTTCCCCACTTATTAGCTGTATGAATTTGGAAGTTGGGATACATCAGTTTTACTATCTATAAAATGGCAAAAAATAATTTCATTCCTTTTACAATGTTGCTGAGAATTAAAAGAATTAAATGTATGAAGTCATTAGTACACGATCTGCCACATAGTAAGTGCTCAGTAAATGTTAGCTATTAACGTTATAAGACATGTGATAACCTTAAAAATTATCGAGGTAAGGTCAAGAAGCATTAAGTGAAAAATTTGGCCCCGATCATAAAGGTTAACAGAACTGAGCTCAGGGGAAAAGACTGAAAATTTTTAAAAAAGATAAATGACTTGTCCTTTCCCTGAAATACACTACCTTCTAAAGCCAAGCTGAGGGGCGCCTAGGTGGCTCAGTGGGTTAAAGCCTCTGCCTTCGGCTCAGATCATGATCCCAGGGTCCTGAAATTGAGCCCCGCATCAGGCTCTCTGCTCATCAGGGAGCCTGCTTCTCCCTCTCTCTCTCTCTCTGCCTGCCTCTCTGCCTACTTGTGATCTCTGTCTGTCAAAAAAATAAATAAATCTTTAAAGCGAAGCTAAGTTTCAGGCAATAAGAGAATTACAACCTAGCTGAATTATAACATCAGTGAATTTAAAAATAAATAATAACACTTCATGAAATGAACAATTTGCTATTATTTATTTATAAGAAAGAGAGAAAGAAAAAATAACCAACTACCAAGCAACACTAAGAACATGCTTACAAAAGGACAAAATATTAAAATATGATTGGCTACTCAATTCGGTGGTTTGCTAAAATAGAGTCACATTTCCATGAAATAAAAATTACATGTAAAATTCAGCAATTCTAAAGAAATAATTCAATGTAACCAGAACTACAGCAAGATGGAAAATTTCCTTCATCCTAAAAAGTTCTCTCCCTGCCAACCCAGGCAACCAAAGAAGTATTTTCTGACATTAGTTTTTTCTAGGATTCCATTTAATTGAAATTACGCAGTATTTTAGTGTCTGGTCTGTTTCACTTCACATAATGCTTTTGAGATTTATCCATGTTATATGGATCAAGGATTCTTCTTTTTGTATGGCTGAGATGTGTTCCACTGTGTGGATATAGCACAACTTGTTTATGCATTCACCAGTTGGAGGATATTGTGAATAAAGGTCTACTAATATTTGAATAGTTTTGTGGTGATATTTATCATATGTTTGCATGGATAAATAACTAGGAGGAAATTGATGGCTTATTTGATAAGTAAAGTATTAAATTGTATTAAACTGTTAACCATCTTTCAAACATACCATTTTGACCTACCGCTAGCAATATACACAAGTTTTAATTGCTCCACGTGCTCATCAATACTTCATACTGCAGATCTTTAATTTTAGCCATTCTAGTGAGATGCAATGGTATATCAGTGCAGTTTTAATTTAAATTTTTTCTAATAATTTATTTCCATTGAGTGTATTTTTATGTTTGTCATGCAATCCATATATCATCTTTGATTGAAATGTCTGTTTAAAATGTTTATTCTTTTTTTT